TGTATGCTGAACAAATAATCCGAGAAGCTGGACTATATGAAGAGTGTGGCATCAGAATTGGAGGAAGGCTCATTAACAACCTGCGATACGCAGACAGCACAACTTTGCTTGCTGAAAGTGAGGATAACCTAAAGCCCTTAGTGATGAAGATTGAAGACTACAGTCTGCAGTATGGATTAAATCTCAACATAAAAAAAACGAAAATCCTCACAACTAGGCCAATAGGCAGCATCATGATGGAGAAAAGACTGACGTTGTCAAAGATTTCATAGTACTTGGTTCCACAATCAACACCAATGGAAGTAGCATTCAGGAAATCAGACAATGACATATTGCACTGGGCAAATCTGCTGCAAAAGACCTCTTTCAATCGCTGAAGAGCACAGATGTCTCTTTGAAGACTAAGGAGCCCCTCACCCAAGCCATGGTGTTTTCAGTTATCTCCTATGCATGTGGAAGCTGGACAATGAATAAGGAAGACCAAAGAATTGATACTTTTGAGTTGTGGTATTTGTGAAGAATACTGAAAATACCATGGACTGCCAGCCTTCTGGTTAGCAGTCAAGTGCCTTAGCCACTATGCTACCAGAGCTCCTAAGTAAACCCATACCCTCCTAAAAAATGAGAATCAACAGGACAGAGTATGTATATAATGGCTACATGCTGAGATCATGTAGATAAAGTATAAGTTTTTAAAACTGGAGAGAATGGAAAGAAAATGGAAAGTGGAGAAAAAAATTATTTCAACTATTTTCAGAATTGAGTTGATTATTCTCATCCATAGATTATTGTATGTGTAATGTGGGGAACCACCAGCCACTCCTCGGAAGGAAGGTTGGGCAATCTACTTCCGTAGTGATACTGCCTCAGAAACCCAAGGAGGGGTCGCTATGAGTCGGGGGCGACTCAACAGCACATAACAACAACAACAACAACAAAATGTGGGGAAAAATGAGTAATTGAGCATATGCTAATTCCATCATCCCCTGTGCCCTTGAGAACTGGGATTCTTGAATGATTGAGAAGCTACAACAATGCTAATTATTGCAGTGGATGAAAACATATCAAATATATTCAAATATATGAGTTTATCATCATAGTAAATAAAAACAAGTAGTTACTTTTAGAGGATAGGGAACCAATTCATTATTTTGAAAACTGGTAAATAAAGGAAGAGAATCATGCATTTAGCCTGTCTTTCCTATATGAACCATATCCAGTAGATGACCAAACAGTAGATGAGTCTATTTCATACGAGCTGGTTAAAAAGCCTAATTAATATAAAAAGAAATTATAGAATGAAACTATCACTATATTGCAATCCCCAATAAATAAACAGATCTACTCACAGAGCATCAACAGCTGCTAACA